GGTGAGATTCGAACCTGCAGTAATTGCAGGCAGCTGTGTTAATAACAGGGTGCTCTAGACCACTGTACTATCAAGGCTCTATTCCTGCCAGCTTGGTGTCGTCTGCAAATTTGATGAGTTCCCCATCTATCCCCTCGTCCAAGTCATTGATGAAGATGTTGAAGAGCACTATGCCTAAGACAGAGCCTTGGGATACCTCTACTATTATTTTTTCTACCACTCTTCTGTTTCACCCATGGCTAAACCTAGGGAGTTTCCCCCTCTGCTTTTCTTCACTGGGGTGGAATGGGTCTCAAAAACGGGAGACCAGTCCTTTCTAGAAGTGGGTTCTGGACCCGAGGGAGGAGATGGCGTTGAACCCAGGGCTCCTCAAGAAGAGAAATGTTGAGATCAGCGTTTCTCAACCGTCGGCAACCTCCAGGAATTCTGGGAGTTGAAATCCACCCATGCTGGCTAGGGAATTCTCACAGTTTAAGTCGCCAAATCTGAAAGTTTTATACAAATTTCATCTGCTTTATCGATAGAAGAGAATATTTGTAGCTCAGGGTTGAACTGTGGGGACCTTGGTGTTCTCTGAGCTTGGTGGTCTTCTTGATGACGTTTCATGGCCCAACTAAGTCACTTCATCAGTGCTTTGGTAGAAGGAAGGGGGTGGTGCAACCTCAGAGAGCACCAAGAACCCTATAGTCGTCGTCCTCCTCCTCCTCCTCCTCCTCCTCCTCCTCCTCCTCCTCCTCCTCCTCCTCCTCCTCCTCCTCCTCCTCCTCTCTGCAAACTCCCCTCCTTTCTAGCACTGATGATGTTCCCTAGTTGGGTCATGAAACGCCTGCAGGAAAACCACCAAGCTCAGACTCGTCCACAGTTCAACTGAGAGCTACAAATATTCTCTTCTATCAGCTGATTGTGGGCTTTTGGCTTTTTCGGGGACCTTTGTGGAGGTTGAGCTATCTTCCCACTTCTCTCTGTTTCTGCCTCTCTCCTCCTGCAGCCAGCCCTGGCCTGCTACCTGTTAATTATTGATGCTAGGATGACAATTATAGGTCCCTGCATAAGCAGGCTAAATATTTCATCAGCTTCCAATGCTGTAGGCAGGGGAAGAGAGCATCCTTCCATCCCTTTTCATGGCAGCTTTGTCTCCGCCTCTGACTTCCTGGGTCCAAGACCCACATTTATCCTTCTTTTTTTGGAGCCTGAGGCAGAAGGAACTTCAGCCTCACAGATTATTGGTCCATCAAGCCGAAAGCCGCTTCTTCTCCCTGTAAGACATTCCTGCCATCCCAGTTTCTTTTCTCTTGGATCAGTTTGCTATTTTGAAGCAGAATAACAAAATAACAGAATATCAGAGTTGGAAGGGACCTTGGAGATCTTCTAGTCCAACCCCCTGCTTAAGCAGGAGACCTTATACCAGGGTTATCCAACCTTGGAACATTAAGACCTTATGGGCTTCAACTCCCAGAATTCCCCAGCCAACATAGCCTTGATGTTCACAAGTCTTAAAGTTCCCAAGTTTGGACATCTTTACCCTATACCATTCTGGACAAATGGCTGTCCAATCTCTTCTTGAAGACCTCCACTGATGGAGCACCCACAACTTCTGGTGGCAAGCTGTTCCACTGGTTAATTGTCCTCCTTGTTAGGAATTTTCTCCTTAATTCCAGGTTGCTTCTCTCCTTGATCAGTTTCCATCCGTTGCTTCTTCTCCTGCCTTCAGGTGCTTTGTAGAATAGGTTGATCCCCTCTTCTTTAGGGCAGCCCCTCAAATATTGAAACTCTGCTATCATGTCACCCCTAGTCCTTCTCATCGTTAGATTAGACATACCCAGTTCCTGCAACCGTTCTTCCTATGTTTTAGCCTCCAGTCCCCTAATCATCTTCGTTGCTCTTCTCTGCACTCTTTCTAGAGTCTCCACATCTGTTTTGTGATGTGGCGACCAAAACTGGATGCAGTATTCCAAGTGTGGAATATTACCAAGGCCTTATCAAGTTGACCTATCTTTGAGATTTTCCAGCGTGGGCTTTTAATCCCATGCTCCCTGTGCTGGAAGGGACCTTGGAGGTCTTCTAGTCCAACCCCATGCCCAAGCAGGGGACCTTATACCATTTCAGACAAATGATTGTCCAATCTCTTCTTGAAAATCTCCAGTGATGGAGCACCCGTAACTTCCAGTGGCAAGCTGTTCCACTGGTTAATTGTCCTCCGTGTTAGGAAGTGTCTCCTTAATTCCAGGCTGCTTCTCTCCTTGATTAGTTTCCATCCGTTGCTTCTTGTCCTGCCTTCTGGTGCTTTGGGCCTCTCTCCCTTTCTTACCCTCCCTGCGGGCTCAGCTATCTCCCGAGTTCCTATTCCTGATTGATCATTCTCTGCTGGAATGGGACCCATTAGCTGCCTGTGAGGCAGCCAGGGATCAGTTTCCAATCAATACCCTTTTAGACAAACAAGGATGTATTTCTGAGCTGCCTTAAAGGGACCACACCAGGATGGAGAAGGAGAAAAGCGAAGAACCTGCCACGGCAGGATTTTAATTTTGGGGCAGAGAGACGGTCAGCAGTCATCAGCAAAAGGACTTTTAGTCTAGTTCACAATTCTAGTTCTCATGAACTCAATTTGGGGATAACCCCCCTCCCCTGCGTTTTCCTTCCCCCTTAATTCTTGCCACTCGAAGCCCTGTAGCCCTTCAATCAGAATAGAGCTGGAAGGGACCCTGGAGGTCCTCTAGTCCAACCCTCTGCTCAAGCAGGAGATCCTAGGCAAGTGACGGCTAATCTTTTTGCCACTGCGTGCCAAAAGCAGGGGGAGCGTGGGGGGGGGGTTGCGCACACGCATGCCCACACACATAATTTTTTGTGCCCCCCCCGCGCATGCACATGTGATACCTCCACACTCTCCCCACTATTGGCACGTGATGGCACGGTGGGCCCAGTAGGCCCATTTTTCACCCTCCCCAGGTTCCAGAGGCTTTCTAGGAGCCTGGGGAGGGTGAAAACGACCTTTCCCACTCCCCCGGAGGCCCTCCAGAGGCCAGAAATGGCCTGTTTGCTGACTTCCGGTGGGACCAAAAGGCCCGTTTTTCGCTCTCCCCATGCTCCAGAGCCTTTCTAGGAGCCTGGGGAGGGCGAAAATGAGCCTTCCCCAGAGGCCCTCCGGAGGCCGGAAATAGCCTGTTTCCCAACTTCTGGTGGGCCCAGAAGGCCCGAAAATCAGCTGACTGGTGCACACATGCGCGCCAAAGCTGAGCTCACATGCCCACCGATATGGCCGATATTTCACACTTATGGCCATTGGAATATCCGCATGGCCACATGATCAAATTCAGACACTTGGCAACTGGCTCAGATCTATGACGGTCCCTGTGTCCCAGGGTCACCTGATCTCCTTTTGTGACCTTCTGACCAGCCAAGGCAACGGGGAAGCCAGATTCACTTAACAACTGTGTGACTAACTTAACACCTGTGATGATTCGCTTAACAACTGAGGCAAGACAGGTCGTAAAATGAAGCGACACTCTCTTAAGAAATATCTCACTCAGCAACATAAATTTTGGGCTCAATGGTAATCATAACTTGAGGACTACCTGTAACTAACTTAATTCTGAAGATTTTAAAGGTATTTGTGTGGCTTACATTAGGAAAGAAACAGGGTGACGGCTTAATAAATATATTAATTTAATAAGTAATAAGCAGATTTCTAAGGAAGTTGTTCCTAGAATTCACTGGTAGCTTTTAGCGCAAATTAGCCCTAACTAAACGGCTTTGAAATTAGGGGGATTTAATGTTGCTTGTCATTAAAACTGCTTTCTGTAGTTATTGTGCATCATCACCAAATGGAACAAACCATGTTTGTTACACACTTGAAAAGAAGCACCATATTTTAATCCTAAACGAGGGACAATTTTTTGAAATACTATGTTGGGCAAGCTTAATTCAGCTGAAATCAGCCAGCTAAATCAGTTCTCCAGTTATTGTGTGTCTTGGAACATTAGGTTCTATATATGCCATTCCTGATATGATCGCCGTCTTTTTATCTTCAGCTTCCTGTTTGGCAACAGGTTGGGAGATTCAACGAGGGTACAGCCATAGATTTGCATGGTTATTGGTTTAACGAGAGCTTATGTGGATGAGGGACGAAGGAAGGAAAGAGAGACAGAGTGGGGGAGGGAGGCAGGAAGGAAGGAAGAAAATGGGGGAGGGAGGAAGGAAAGGGAGATGAAGAAAGGAAGGATGGAAGAAGAAAAAGAGGGAGGGAGCAGAGGAAGGGAGGAAAATGAGAAGGTGAGGAAAGAAAAAGGAAGAAGGGAAAAGGAGAACAAGAAGGAGGGGGGAAGGAAGGAAAATGAAAAGGATGAAAGAAGAAGGGATGGAAGACAGGAAGGAAGGAAGGAAGGAAAGAGGGGGAGGAAGGGAGGAAGGAGAGGGAGGTGTAGAAAGGAGGTATGAAAGAAGGAAAAGGGAGGGAGCGGAGGGAGGAAAATGAGAAGGAGGTGAGGAAGGAAGAAAGAAGGGAAGAAGGGAAAAGGAGAACAAGAAGGAGGGAGGGAGGAAGGAAGGAAAATGAGAAGGATGTGAGAGAAGAAGGAGGGATGGAAGGAAGGAAGGAAAGGGGGAGGAAGGAGAGGGAGGTGTAGAAAGGAGATATGAAAGAAGGAAAAGAGGGAGGGAGCGGAGGGAGGAAAATAAGAAGGAGGTGAGGAAAGAAGAAAGAAGGGAAGAAGGGAAAAGAGAACAAGAAGGAGGGAGGAAGGAAGGAAGGAAAATGAGAAGGAGGTGAGGAAAGAAGGAGAAAGATAGGAAGGAAGGAAGGAAAATAAGAAGGAGGTGAGGAAAGAAGGAAGGATGGAAGACAGGAAGGAAGGAAGGAAGGAAGGAAGGAAGGAAGGAAGGAAGGAAGGAAGGAAGGAATTACTGAGATCCTTTGTCAGATGCAAGGAAGCCAATGGTCAAACTCTTATAAGGACTCCTGAAAGCAATTGGTGTTCCTTTTTTCTATTTTCCTCTATTTCTAGATTTTTTCTCAAGTTCTTCCTCAAATGCAACCAGAACTGCTTGAAGAATGCCGGCAATCCGCGAGATATGCGCCGGTTCCAGGTGAGGTTCTCTCTTGTACGAGTCCGACATTCCTCTTTCTTCTCCCCAGCCCTTCCCTGGAGACCCCCTTTTCAAAAAGAAGACACCTTCCTTCGTAGCATTTGCTCCTCTAGTCCGGTTGGGCCTCCTGGAGCCCTGAGGTTCTGCACAAAATAGGATGCATCTCACTTCAAGGAAGACGGCTGCCCATAGGTTGGGGGTGGGGTGGGGAGCTATGGAGAAAATCAATGTATCTGGGTTCACCATGGAAAATGGGAGCTTTAGTACTCTCTGAGCTTGCCTGCTTGCTTTCTTGCAGACGTTTCATGACCCAACTAGATAGCATCATCAGTGCTAGAAAAGGATGGGATAGGATGGGATGGGATGGGATGGGATGGAATAGGTTAGGATAGGATAGGATAGGATAGGATAGGATAGGATAGGATAGGATAGGATAGGATAGGATAGGATAGGATAGGATAGGATTTTTTATTGGCCAAGTGTGATTGGACACACTAGGAATTTGTCTTGGGAGTGAGGATTGGGAGGAGGAGGAGGAGGAGGAGGAGGAGAGGAGAGGAGAACTGTGGGGTCCTTGGTGCTCTTTGATCTTGCTTGTTTCCTTGCAGACGTTTCATGACCCAACTAGATAACTTAATCAGTGCTAGAGAGGAGTAGGGTGTGAAGAGAAGAAGAGGAGGAGGAGGACTGTAGGGTCCTTGATGCTCTCTGACCTTGGTGGTTTTCCTGCAGACATTTCATGACCCAACTAGATAACTTAATCAGTGCTAGAAGGGAGTGGCAATTAGGAGGAGGAGGAGGAGGAGGAGGAGGAGAGGAGGGAGGAGGAAGACTGTGGGTTCCTGGTGGTTTCCTTGCAGACGTTTCATGACCCCACTAGGTAACATCATCAGTACTCGAAGGGAGTGGGGTTTGCTAGAAGGGAGTTGAACAATCTTGGAGATTCTTTGGCTGGACTGTTTCGTGTTCGCTTCTTTGGCAGTTCCTTGATTGGGTGTATTGTTTAAGTAAAGTGAAAATAATACCCCACCCGTACCCCATCTGTAATCCAGATGGCCGATGCAAACAACAGGGAGATCTAAAATATTTGGCCAGACAGCCCTTTGAAGGTCCAGCAGCTTTGAAGGACTCTGGCTTTTCTTCTTCCCGGACTCTGCTCTCTTGCACCAATGTGGCTCAGGTTTGCTCATCAAGATGGGTGTGTTTGCTCTAGCAACCTCCGGCCGCCTGGCACCGATGCTATGCAAATTGGCACGGCTGTTAATCATGTAAAAATGTCACAATTACCATATCCTTATGCAAGCGAACTGATGAAGCTACTAGCTAGTCAGGGCTGGGGGATACCTGAGGAGTCCTGGACCACAGGCCTCTGATTTTACACAGCTCTTCTCGGCCCCTTTTAGGTTTCTGGCCGATGGCCAACGCAAGACAAAACGGGTTGGGGTGCGGGGAATGCAACTTTTTTCATCCTCAAATGATCTTGCTTTCCATTTGTGAGTTGCACTGGTGGGATTCAAAAATTTTTACTACCGGTTCTGTGGCTACCGGCTTGGTGGGCGTGGCAGGGGAAGGATACTGTGAAATCTCCATTCCCTCCCCACTGCAGGGGAAGGTTACTGCAAAATCCTCATTTCCTCCCAATCAGCTGGGACTCGGGAGGCTGATGGGGTCGGGGCCAGTCAAAGGTGGTATTTACCGATTCTCCGAACTACTCAAAATTTCCGCTACCAGTTCTCCAGAACTGGTCAGAACCTGCTGAAACCCACCTCTGGTAGTGAGCACTGGGAAGGTGGAGGATTCGCCAGTTGTGCCCTCCCCAACTTGTTGTTTTGGGCAATGGGTGTTGTAGTCTCACCCATCTGGATAGCAAACAGTTGCCTTTTAGGCAAGATCAATATTCTGCAGGGAGGTGGTAGATAGATAGATAGATAGATAGATAGATAGATAGATAGATAGATAGATAGATAGATAGATAGATGATAGATAGATAGATAGATAGATAGATGATAGATAGATAGATAGATAGGTGATAGATAGATAGGTGATAGATAGATAGATGATAGATAGAGATAGATAGATAGATAGATGATAGATAGATAGCAGACAGACAGACAGACAGACAGACAGACAGACAGACAGACAATAGCTGATGATAATGATAGGTAGATGATAGATAATAGAATAGATAAAAGATGATAGATAGATCTGAATATCTGGCTGAGTGTGTAATGAACCATAATAATGGTTGGTAGGTAGGTAGGTAAGAAGGTAGACAGACAGAGACACAAACAGACAAGGACAGGATAGGATAGGGAGAGGGGAGCAATATGTAGACAGATGATAGATATGATAGATAAATGTCAGAGAGAGAGAGAGAGAGAGATTATAGAGAGAAAAGAAGAGAGAGAGATAATAGAAAGAGGATAGAGAGAGATGGACAGTCAGATTTGGGTTTTTGTTTTTTTTTAGTTTCTTTCTTTTACATACTTTCTTTTGTATCCTCTGGAAGTAATTCTTTTCTTACTAAACCTCTCTTCCTACTTCTTTAATCATAAAAGTTAAATTGTGTTAAAACGACAGCAACCCACTACCCGAACAACCGAAGGACGATTTTTTTAAACAGCTAAATTTCTAACGTTGCTGTGTTTGGTTCTATCCTGATCATCCTCCAAGCTCTCTTTCGGATTGTTTGTATTCGTCCATTTGATGCTTCCCTTTCCGCAGGTGGTGGTGTCGACGACGGTGAATGTCGATGGCCATGTCCTTGCCGTGTCCGACAACATGTTTGTCCACAACAATTCCAAGCATGGACGCCGGGCACGTCGGTTGGATCCTTCAGAAGGTACCCTTGCCTATATACACTTTTGCACACCAGCAACCACAAAACTCCCTTTAATAAGAAGAAGAAGAAGAGGAGGAGGAGGAGGAGGAGGAGGAGGAGGAGGAGGAGGAGGAGGAGGAGGAGGAGGAGGAGGAGGAGGAGGAGGAGGAGGAGGAGGAGGAGGAGGAGGAGAATTTGGAATGGAATGAAATAGAATAGAATAACAGAGTTTGAAGGGACCTTGGAGGTCTTCTAGTCCAACCTCCTGCTCAGGCAGGAAACCCTACACCACTTCAGACAAATGGTTACCCAATCTCTTCTTGAAAGCCTCCAATGAAGGGGCAGCCACAACTTCCTGAGGTTGAGAAACACGGCTTTGCGGCTGTAGTCCTCAATTTACGACCACCACTGAGCCCGGGATTCATGTTGCTAAGTGAGACTTTTCCTCAGCGAGCTTTGCTCCAGTTTACGACCTTCCTTCCCACGGTTGTTAAGAGAATCACTGCAATTGTTAAGTTAGTCACACGGTTGTTAAGTGAATCTGGCTTCCCCATTGACTTTGCTTGTCGGAAAGGGGATCACGTGACCAGCCCCCCCCTCCCCGGGACACAGCGACCGTCATAAATACAAGTCAGTTGCCGAACATCGAAATATAAACCCCGTGTCCATGGGGAAGCCGCAACGGTCGTAAGTGTGAATAACGATCCTGTCAACTTTTTTCAATGCCGTTGTAACGGTCACTAAATGAACTGTTGTAAATCAAGGACTATCATTAGGCAGAAGAACATCCACCAGGCATGGAAGCCAGGTTTAGTGTCTAATCCCGGTTTAGTGTTACCTCTTTCCCAGCCAATGCTGGCCAATATGTTGGCTTGGCTTTAGGATCTTAATTGAGAGGAAAACGGAATCCGGCTGCTGTTTCTTGGAGCCTTCCAAGAGGGTCCCCTTTGAGCTGTGGGGAGGGGGCATCTCTTTGGTGCCCTCGTCCTTGGCCTGCTTCCCTTCCCTTCCCCTCCCCTTCTGTCTGAGGGTCTTCCCTCCCCTCCTGGTCTGTGCGGGGGATTCCTGATGCTTTATCCTTCCCCCCCCCTCTCTTCGCCCTCCTAAAGCAGCCACACCCTGCATCAAAGCCATCAGCCCCAGCGAAGGCTGGACGACGGGAGGGGCCACCGTGATTGTCATCGGGGACAACTTCTTCGACGGGCTTCAGGTGGTCTTCGGCACCATGCTGGTCTGGAGTGAGGTGAGTCTGCCGGCTTTCCCCCCTCCCCATTTCTGGATTTATTTTTATCTTCCTCTTTTGTCTTTCCCTTTCTTTCTTCTTACTACCCTCCATTTTCCCCTTCCCTTCCCTTTCTCCATCCTCTCCGCTTTGCCTGCCTCTTTCCCTTCCCTTCTCCTTCTCTTCCCTTTTCCCTTCCCCTTTCCTTCCCTCCCCTCCTCCCTTCCCTTTCCCTCCTCTCTGCCTGCCTCTTTCCCTTTCCTTCTCCTTCTCTTCCCTTCGTTTACCTCCTTCCCTTCCCCTCCCCTCCCTTCCCCTCCCCTCCCACTCTTTCACTTCCCTCCCCACCCTCTCTTCTCTCTCTCTCTCCTCCCCCTCCCTCTTCCCCTCCCTCTTCCGCCCCCTCTCCCTCCCGCCCCTTCTCTTTCTATCCCATCCCACCATTTTATGTCTGATTCTCTTTCCCTCCCTTCCCCTCCTCCTTTTCCGTCTCCTCTCCCACTCCCTCTCTTCCCATCATCCCATCATTTTATGTCTGATTCCCCTCCTTCCCCTCCCCTTCTTTTTTCCCTTCCTTTCCTCATCCCTTCCTTCCCTTCCCACCTAACCCCAATGCAAAACCTTTTGAGTCCCAGCAAAATCCATGATCTAACTCCATTTTTGGGGGGGGCTGGCCTTCATATTTTTGCTCCCAAGAGAGTTTGCAGAAACAACCCAGCTCAAGTTAACCGCAGGCAGAAATGGCGCAAAGCCCACCCACCCCCAATGTAAAACCCAAAAGCAAAGAACGCCTTTGGGTCTGGGGTCAAAAATCAGCCAGTGCAGAAACTGCACCTTTTTCTGGGTGCCAAGACAAAAGCATAATGGAAGGCGTCTATAATTCCCATTTTCAGGTCCAAGGCACATCACTTTCCTCATTGGGGGGGGGGAGTGTATCGGCACCCCTTTTGTGGGCAAAAAGACCCTCCACTTCCTGAAAGGAAATTTCTCTGAGCTGCTGCTGTGGCTACTTGTCCATGGAGTCTTTCCCAGGTGGGGTGGCTGGGAGGGAGAGTGCAGGAAGAAGGGAGACCGAAAGCAAGGGACAATAAACCTCACCTGGGGAGGGGGGGAGAGAAGGAGAAGGAGGAAGAAGAGAAGAAGGAGGAGGGATACAGGAGGAGGAGGAGGAGGAAAAGGAAGGGGAGGAAGAAAAGGAGGAGGAGGACAGTGGAAGAGGAGAAGGAGCAGAGTGGAAAGGAAGGGGAGAAGAGATGCAGGAAAAGAAGAAGGAGAAGGAAGAAGAAAGGAGAGGAAAAGAAGAGAAAGGATGGAGGAGGAGGAGAAGAAGAGAGAAGAAGAAAGGAGAGGAAAAGAAGGGAAACAATGCACTGGAGGAGGAGGAGGAAGGGGAGGAAGGGATTGCCAGCCTCAAAATCTTCATGGCTTCTCAGCGTCCTGCTGCCCCTTCCCTTAGCACAAAACTTCCCCGTCTGACCATCCTCTTCTCCCCATAACAGCTGATCACGCCTCATGCAATCCGGGTTCAGACGCCGCCCCGGCACATCCCCGGCGTGGTGGAGGTGACCCTGTCCTACAAGTCGAAGCAGTTTTGCAAAGGAGCACCTGGGCGGTTTGTCTACACAGGTAAGCGCTGGACACGAGGGAGGGAGGGCAGGGTGAGAAAATAAGGGATAAGAGACAGGCGTCCGCAGCTTCTGCCATGGGATGGTTGGGCCACAAAGTTGAGGCAGGCAATGGAAATGCCCCCACACTGACTGGCAAGAAAGAGAGAAAGAAAAGAAAAGAGAGAGAGAGGGAGGGAGGGAGGGAAGGAAGGAAGGAAGGAAGGAAGGAAGGAAGGAAGGAAGGAAGGAAGGAAGGAAGGAAGGAAGGAAGGAAGGAGTGGGAGAGCGAGGGAGGGGAGGGAGGAAGGAAGGTGGAAGGAAGGAAGGAAGGAAGGAAGGAAGGAAGGAAGGAAGGAAGGAAAGAAGGAAGGAAGAAGTGGGAGAGGGAGGGAGGGAGGGAGGGAAGGAGGGAAGGAAGGAAGGAAGGAAGGAAGGAAGGAAGGAGTGGGAGAGGGAGGGAGGGGAGGAAGGAAGGAAGGTGGAAGGAAGGAAGGAAGGAAGGAAGGAAGGAAGGAAGGAAGGAGTGGGAGAGCGAGGGAGGGGAGGGAGGAAGGAAGGTGGAAGGAAGGAAGGAAGGAAGGAAAGAAGGAAGGAAGAAGTGGGAGAGGGAGGGAGGGGAGGGAGGAAGGAAGGAGGAGGAAAGAAGATTCATTTAATGACTATTCAAAGTTAAAATAGCACTGAAAAAAGTGACATGACCATTTTTCACATTTACGACCGTTGCACCCTCCCCATGGTCACATGATCAAACTTCAGACACTTGGGCACTGACTCATATTTACGACCGTTGCTGCATCCCAAGCTCACGTGATCCCCTCTCGCGAGCGAAGTCAACGGGGAAGCCCAATTCCCTTCATAGCCAGGTTACTAACCCCTCCAGTGATTCACTTAACAACGGTGGCAAGAAAGGTCATAAAATGGAGCAGGATTCGCTTTGACCGCTGTCTTGCTTAGCAAGAGAAACGCAGGGCTGCATTGTGGTCGTAACTCGAGGACGTCCCGTATATGAGAGGGAGGGAGAGCCCCTGTGCTGCCATCAAGGTAACAGTAACGGAGGTGTGTGCAAGGAATCGCAATGCCACAACCGGGCCCGAGAAACGATTGCAAATATAGTCCGACAGATGCAGATTAGAAAAGCGTGCAAAATTACGCTCATTTGCATCTCTTCTCTCTCTCTCTCTCTCTCTCTTTTTTTTGCTTGTTTGGCTTAATTCAGGTTATTTTGTTGATAGGGAACGCAGCAGTTTTATGACAAACTGAAAACTTCATCCTTTAGGGCGGTTTTGAGCCTTCCGTTGCAAAATAATCTGGCGTGTGGGCGGCTTATTCTTCAATTGGCTGCCGCCCGTGTGCTGCCAAACAGTGTTCTTAAGGACTAGAAACTTGGTTTGCAGGGGGAGGGGCAGAGGTGGGTTTCAGCAGGTTCTGACCAGTTCTGGAGAACCGGTAGAGGAAATTTTGAGTAGTTCGGAGAACCAGACGTAAAAATTCTGACTGGCCCCGCCCCCATCTATTCTCTGCCTCCCAAATCCCAGCTGATCAGGAGGAAATGGGGATTTTGCAGTATCCTTCCCCTGGAGTGGGGTGGGAATGGAGATTTTACAGTATCCTTCCCCTGCCACGCCCACCAAGCCATGCCACACCCAGCAAGCCACACCCACAGAACCAGTAGTAAAAAAAATTTGAAACCCACCACTGGGGAGGGGGTGGAATTATTATAGCGGTGGTGTTGACATTGGGGATAAAAGTGGGGAAAAAAGAATTCATGCTGTTTTTAGCACTTACCAGTGGAAGTTTCACTCAATCAGGCATTTCAAGAGGTGAATTTTGATAAGATTGCCTATTTTTTGTGCTCCTGTAACTGATTTGACACAGCAACCGAACAAGAGAGACACAGACTTCAGAGGATAATTGAAACTGCAGAAAAAGCAATGGCTACCAACCTGCCTTCCAGTGAGGATCTGTGTATTGCACGAGTCAAAAAGAGGGCTGGGAAAATATCTACAGACCCCTCGCATTCTGGACATAAACTGTTTCAACTCCTACCCTCAGGATGGCGTTATAGGGCCCTGCATGCTGAAACAACCAGACACAGGGACAGATTTTTCCCCTCGTGCCATCACTCTGCTGAACACCTAATTCCCAAACCCTTGTCTTATGTGTAAGGATAGTCACCCCTGTAGTAGGGCTGTATTACTATTACCCTTCTCATCTTTTGTATCACCTTCTCCTATTGGTATCTTATGATTGCATTAATTTTTTGTTTGTATGTGGAATAGGAATAGGAATAGGAATAGGAAAGGAAGAGAAGAGAAGAGAAGAGAAGAGAAGAGAAAAGAGAAGAGGAAGGAAGAAGGGGAAGGAGAAGAGAAGATGGAATGGAATAAAGGAGAGGAATAGAATAGAATAGAATAGAATAGAATAGAATAGAATAGAATAGAATAGAATAGAATAGAATAGAATAGAATATAGGGAAGGGAAGGGAAGAGGAGAGGAGAGGAGAGAAAAGAGAAGAAGGAAGAAGGGGAAGGAGAAGAGAAGTTGGAATGGAATAAAGGAGAGGAACAGAATAGAATAGAATAGAATAGAATAGAATAGAATAGAATAGAATAGAATAGAATAGAATAGAATAGAATAGAATAGAATAGAATAGAATAGAATAGAATATAGGGAAGGGAAGGGAAGGGAAGGGAAGGGGAGAGGAGAGGAGAGGAGAGGAAGGGGAAGGAAGAGGGCGAAGGAAAAGAGAAGAAGAAGGGGAACAGAGGGAAGAAGAAGGGAAGAGAAGAGAACAGAATAGAGAACAGAACAGAATTGTTTGTTGCTCAAGTGTAATTAGACACACAAGGAATTGGTCTCCGGTGCAGAAGCTCTCAGTGTACATGCAAAACAACAAAGTAATCATAAGATGGGATTGCTCTGCCAAGCATCCTCTCCTCCCCTCCCCATCTTTGTCTGCCCTCCCGGACATAACCCCAGCCAGGAGGGCTGCGTTGCCCCCTCCCTCCCTCCCGTTGCATGGCTAACCTTGCATGCTGTGGCCTGGGAAAGGGGTCTGCGGGGGGCGGGGGGCAGCAGAGGGAGCCCGGGAAATCAATAGCAATTAAGGTCGCAGAGAGGCTGCCCAGAACTGAAATGGTAGCATATGTTTACACTAAATCAAGCAATCCATCTTCATCCCAGGGTAGTAACGAAGCACATGCCAATCTGGGCTTGTGGGGGGGAGGGATGACGGAGGAGGAGGAGGAGGAGGTTCAGGGAAGCTGTGTTTGTTTGTCGGAGGGGATCCAGGTAAAGGGGGCAGGGGTCCCTGATACGCTGGGCTTGCTATTTATTCTTATTTATTTACTGCCTTTATTATCTTTGTCAATAACTCAGGGAAGTAACAATATGTAATATGCCTTCTACTTCCTCCTATTTTCCCCACAATAACATCCCTGCGAGGTAGGCTGGGCTGAGAAAGAGGGAGTGGCCCAAAGTCACCAGCCGGGTTTCGTTCCTAAGCCAGGACTAGAATTCACTGCATGCTAGTGATTGGCCCAAAGTCCCCCACTTGGCTTTCTTGCCTAAGGCTGAACTAGAACTCACTTTCTCCTGGTGATCAGCCCAAAGTCACCCAGCTGGCTTTTGTGCCTAAGGCGGGACTAGAACTCACCGTCGCCTGGTGATTGGCCCAAAGTCATCCAGTAGGCTTCCAAGACCGAAGTGGGACTAGAACTCACTGTCTCCTGGTGTTTTGGTCTAAAGTCACTTTTGTAGCTGACCTCAAACAGCTAAGCAGCGCTGGAACAGCTTCAGATTCGGATTGGAGACCACAAGGAGATCCTAGAGCAACAGATGAGAGCAGAAAACTGCAGCCAACCCCTTTCGGACAGTTGCTGTGAAAAATGGCCTCTGTGCACAGCAAGCCCAAAGTCATGGTCAGCTGAGGTTGAGCCAGCTGGACGCTGCGACTGCCAAAAAGGTCACTACCATCCTAACTTCATACAGAGAATTAGAGTCAATTAAGGAGTCTTGGCTTCAGGCCCCAAATCCCTAAATCCCAGCCTTTTAGGATGTGACTGTAAGGATTTCGTGCATTTGCACAGGATTGGTGCTGCCTATAGAGAAAAGTACAGGTAGTCCTTGACTTAACAACCACAATTGAGCCCAAAATTTCTTTTTTTTTATTGAAAAAGTTTTTCAAATACAGATTTTTCCCCCCTTCCCACCCCAACCCCCCCTCACCCTCCCCTCCCCCCATGGCTTCTCCAAGATGAAATCCAAATTGATATCACATTATATAATACTTTACCACCCTTTTATATAATACTTTACCACCCCCTATGTGCTAAACATTTCTTTCTAACATTATTATTATACCCCCCGTATACTATACATTTCAAAACAACATTTGGCTATAAAACTATACAATAGATCCTAATTTGGCATTTATTCTACTCATAATCTACCCATTTCCTCCACCCGTACATATATCTCTTAATTCAAATCTTTTAAGTATATTAATATCTAAACATAACATCCGTTTTCCTAAACAAAGCAATCAGTAACCTAACCTATCTCCTTGTACCATATCAATTTTATTTCACCCACTTTCCTGCAGGTCTACCATACATAATATATTTAATATCTTTATTCTTCTGCCCGTATCACTAAAAGATATTTCCATATGTAAATAAAATCCTCAAATGACTTTAAATTTGTATTCCATATAGTATCTTCTGTAATGTCTTTCAACTAGATTGTTAATTCCATCGACCATGTTCGGATAACATCAAATCCTGCTTCCAACAGTGTATTTAGTGAGCCCAAAATTTCTGTTCCTAAGCGAGACAGTTGTTAAATGAATCCCTGCAGCTGTTAAAGTTATTCACACGGTTGTTAAGTGAATCTGGCTTCAAGGAAAGAAGCAACCTAGAACGAAGGAGAAACTTCCCGACAGGGAGAACAATTAACCAGTGGAACTACTTGCCACCAGAAGTTGCAGGTGCTCCAACACTGGAAGTTTTTAAGAAGAGATTGGACAACCATTTGTCTGGAATGCTACAGGGTTTCGTACCGGAGCCGGGGGTTGGACTAGAAGATCTCCAAAGTCCCTTCCAGCTCCTGTTCTGTTACTCTATTGACTTTGCTTGTCAGAAGGTCGCAAAAGGAGATCACCCGATCACGGGATACTACAACCGTCATAAATATGAGTCAGTTGCCAAGTGTCTGGATTTTGATCCCGTGCCCACGGGAATGCGGCAACCATCGTGCGAGAAACGGCCATTGAGTCGTTTTTTTTCACTGCCCTTGTAACTTGGAAAGGACACTAAATGAAGACTACTTGATGTTTGAAGACTACTTGATCTAACGAAATGAAATTCAATGTAGAGAAAAGTCAAGTCCTACATTTAGGCAAGAAAAACCCAAAAGGACACATATAGACTGGGTGAAACCAGGTTTCTTAATAGCAGTGACTGTGAGAGGTTCTTGGAGTCTTAGTGGACAACCAGCTAAATATGAGCCAGCAGCCAAAAAAGCCAATGCAATCCTAAACTGCATTAACAGAGGGAAGCAATCAAGATCAAGGGAGGTACTAATACCACTCTATAAAGCCTTAGTAAGACTACACCTAGAGTCCTGCATCCAGTTTTGGTCCCCACACTATAAAAAAGATGTTGAGACTCTAGAAAGAGTGCAGAGAAGAGCAATAAAGAGGATTAGGGGACTGGAGGATAAAACATGCGAGGAACGGTTGCAGGAACTGGGCATGGCTGGTCTAGGGAAGAGAAGGACCAGGGGAGACAGGAGAGCATCTTCCAATATTTGAGGAGCTGCCACAGAGAAGAGGAAGGGGGTCAAGCTCTTTTCTATAGGCCAGACAAGGAATAATGGATGGAAACTGAACAAGGAGAGATTTAACCTGGAAATAAGGAGAAATTTTCTGACAGTGAGAACCATCAACCGGTGGAACAGAAGTTGCCTTTGGAAGTTGTGGGAGCTTCATCTCTGGAGGCTTTCAAGAAAAGATTGGACTGCCATTTGTCAGAAATAGTGTAAGGTCTCCTGCTTGGGTGGGGGGGGTTGGACTAGATGACCTCCAAGGTCCCTTCCAACTCTGTTATTCTGTTAATGTGTTCTTTGCACGCTGTAAATCTAATGGCTTCCTTCTTTCCACACGTAGCCCTGAATGAGCCAACGATCGATTATGGGTTTCAACGCCTACAGAAGGTGATCCCCGGCACCCCGGAGACCCCGAACGCTTACCAAAGGTAGGAAACCCCCCCCTCTTCTTCTCTTAAGCGTCTCAGTGTTGCATCGATGTGTCGAACTCCGACTTTGTGAGAGACTCACTGTGTTTGGCTCCCGGTTTTCATTTCCATGCCAAACAGGAGTTTATTTTGTGTTTTTTTTTTCAATTTTCTGATGAGGATGAGGAAGAAAGTTTTAGGAAACCTGGTTTTCCTCTTTATCGGCTGGTTGGGTTTGTCATCGGCAGGGAGTTGTTGTTGTTGTTGTGGTTACTAGCGGAAGCATTGAAAAGTCCCGAACTTTTCCCACCTTGTTTTCCTCTATTTTTTATTTTATTTTAGGGGAGTTTTGGCAAAAAATTGAACATGGAAAATAGCACCGCAGGGCGTGATTAAAGATAAAAATTGAATACAATTTAATACATAAGTCCTCGACTTATGACCACAATGGATCCCAAAATTTCTGTGGTTAAGTGAGTTTGGCCCCCTTTTACAACTTTTCTTGCCACCGTTGTTAAGTGAATCATTGCAGTTGTTAAGTTAGTAACAAGGTCGTTAAGTGAATCCATTGACTTTGCTTGCTAGAAGGTCGCAAAAGGGGATCACGTGACCTCAGGCCAATGCGACCGTCATAGATATGAGCCAGTCGCCAAGCGTCTGAATTTTGATCTCGTGACCCCAAGGAGGCTGCAGCGGTCATAAGTGGGAAAAACAGTCATAAGTCACTTTTTTCAGTGCTAGCGTAATTTGGAACGAGTGTCACTAAACCAGTGTTTGTCAACCTTGGTAGCTTGAAGATGGGTGGACTTCAACTCCCAGAATCCCCCAGCTGGGGGATTCTGGGAGTTGAAGTCCATCCATCTTCAAGCTACCAAGTTGACAAACACTGCACTAAACGAACTGTCGTAAGTTGAGGAGTACCTGTAAATCCAATATTTTGCAGTGTTTTCATTCCTCAGTTTCTCAGCAAAACCACAAACTCTGAGCACTGAGACAGTTTGGAAATCACACCACCCCCATCCCACACACACACACACACACACACCCAAACACATGTGCACACACCAACACATATGTGTGCACTCACATACATGCATATCACGCAAAGGGCCCAGAAGGACACACTCCCCATCACGCCTTGATGAATGAGCCTCAAGGGACGTCAGCACCCACCCACACAAACACACCCACACCCACACGTGTGTGCACAAACACACAAGCACATACGTGCCCAAACATACATGCACACCACGCAAAGGGCCTAGAAGGGCAAGCTCTGCATCACGCTTTGACAAGCCTCAAGGGACGTCACCACCACCCCACACGCACACACACAAACATGCAAACCCGTGTGCATGCACGCACCTGTGTGTGCACACAAACACACAAATATGTGTGCGCAAACATATGCACACCATACAAAGGGCCCAGAAGGACACGCCTTGACGAACCTCAAGGGATGTCAGCACGCACACACGTGCACCCACACACAATATTTGCACAAACATACATGCATGCCCAGGTGGACACGCTCCACATCATGCCTTGACAAGCCTCGAGGGATGTCACCACCACCCCATGTGTATACACAGACACAGAGTGTGCAAAAGGACACATTCCAGTTACTCCTTGAAGCCCGGGAGGAAAGCAGGATGGCGTGGAAGTCAACCGGACTTCCTCAAGGCAGGAGGAGGAGCATTTTTTTGTGCCCATCCTCCGGCATGAGGGCACCTGCCAGGCTCCTGCCGTGGTGGCTGGGTGCCTCTCACTCGTGCCGCCATCCTTGGCAAATCCGGCTGATGCCTCTGGGCAGAGAGCAGCTGGCGGCAAGAGGGGGCTTCAGATGGGGAGTGACAGCCGAAGGCAGCCGCCAAATTGGAGCCATTAATCATGATTTGACACGGATGTAGGAGCTGCTGCGGGGGCTGTTTGCCCGCACGGCTTCCCCATTCCTGCCTTGGGGGGGGGCTCAGTGCCCCATGCCTGGGGGGCTCAGAAGCCTCCCACCAACCCATGGTGAACATAACCCCCCCCAAACATTCTCCATTCTCTCCTTCTGCCCACCTCCCTTTTTCAACCCCATCAGCGAGTCTGGGGTCTCCTTCTACGAAGGCCCCGCAGAGGCTGTCGGTCCCGGAAGAAAACCCCTTTTTATCCAAATTAATTTACTTTCAGGATTAGATTTGCTGAGAGGGAGACAGGCAGGGAGGGTTTTCTACGCACAGCTTTCTCCCCGTTCAGGAAACACAACAATAGATGCCCGTGGTTGAGATGGTTCTTGAGGTAGACACTCTCTGTATATGGAGGCTCTTTGTCTCATTCATGTGTTGGCCCGAATTCTTTGGGGCAGATGAAATTTGGACAATTGGTGCATCAAATTATTTAAATGTGGGGGGGGGAGGAGGAGGAGGGGGAAAGGGGAGGGGGAGGAAGAGGAAGAGGAAGGGGCGGTATTAAGGATGCGATGACTACAGCTTTCATGACTACATCCTAAGTTGCAGGGCTTGCGAGATTTTAAAAACGCCACGCTTTAAGAAAAATAAATAAATCTCCGATTTTGAGCTAACTTTTTTTATAGAAAAGGTGATCGAGCGAACAAAGAAAACCTCCAGAGGGAAATAAAAATACAGAGTGGAAGATAAATTAGGAACCAAAACCTCAGGGAATGAAAAGATCCAAAGGGCAGCAAAATGTAGGAATATGCACTCCTACATATAAAAATATTAGGAATATGCCAAGTTGAATGTTCCATCTTTTTTTCTCCAGATTGCGCCCATCTTGGGTCCAAGCCAGTTTTCCTAAAATCAATCCTCTAAATCGGTGTTTCTCAACCTTGGAAGCTTGAAGATGGGTGGACTTCAACTCCCAGAATCCCCCAGCCAGCGCTGCTGGCTGGGGGTTCTGGGAGTTGAAGTCCACCCATCTTCAAGCTTCCAAGGTTGAGAAACACTGCTCTAAATTCTAGGTAGTTGGATGTCCAAAGCCACAACTAGTTACTGAACCACAGCCAAATTGGAATATTAATGTTATCCTTA